GGACAAAGAGAAAAAGTTTGTTTGGAACCATGGAATCACTCTACCTCTAAAAAATGTCAGAAAGAGGAGGTTCCGGAAGACAGCAAAGAAGAAGTATATTGAGTCTCCCGATGTGGAAAAAGAAGTGAAGCGGTTGCTGAGTACCGATGCTGAAGCTGTCAGCACTCGTTGGGAGATAATTGCTGAAGATGAAACAAAGGAGACTGAAAATCAAGGCCTCGATATCTCCTCTCCAGGAATGTCTGGCCACAGGCAGGGCCACGACTCATTAGAACATGATGAGCTTCGAGAGATATTCAATGACCTCAGCAGCAGCAGTGAAGATGAGGAAGATGTCAACATCATTGATACTGAGGAAGATCTGGAGAGGCAGCTACAAGACAAGCTCAATGAGTCAGATGAACAGCACCAAGAAAATGAAGGAACCAACCAGTTGGTTATGGGAATTCAGAAACAGATTGATAATGTGAAGGGCAAGCTCCAGGAGACCCAGGACAGGGCAAAGCGCCAGGAGGACCTCATCAGAAAAGTCGAAAACTTGGCTCTCAAGAACAGGTTTCAAGCTGTTCTGGATGAACTGAAACAAAAGGAAGACAGGGAGAAAGAGCAGCTGAGTTCTTTGCAGGAGGAACTAGAATCACTCCTAGAGAAGTGAGAATGTTGATTTCCATTCTTCGACTGGTTAGCTTGAGAAAATTTTTATTTTCATAATACGATCTCAAAATTATTCTCTATTATGTTAGGAGTTTTGTTGAATTTTGTTGGTTGTTTTTGGAACTGTTGCCAAGGTTTTCATTCTTAGGAAGTAGGGTTACATAGGCAGGTGTAGGGAAGTTCTAAGATTAGGGAATAGTTGAACTTTAATCATTCACCATAGGACTTTATTACGTTTGTCTCTTTTCCAGAAGTTTTTATTCCTATTCTGTGGTGCTAAGATCAGTAAGAAACTAGCCTACAGGCAGTGAAGTTAATTTTATTTTTATTTTTTTAATGTATGTTTACAGTAGCTATCTTACTAGCTACCCAACAAGTTTTCATGTATAGAAATGTAAGTTTTTGCACAAGTTGTTTCTTGCACAATAAAAGTTACCAGTTTTTGCATTATAATGTTTTACCTTTTTCTTCTGTGAATAGTGAGAGTTGAGATGAATGCATGGAGTTTAATGACTGAATGGTGTGGTCATGTTTTGTAGATAAAGACACATCCTGTTTGTTTTATGTTTTCAGGAAAAGGAATACACAGGTAAGGAAATGGAAAAATTCATTTTCGCACTATATTAAAGGCCAGATCTACCTGGAGGTTTGAGAATACTGGGTCCCAAGCCATCTTAAACTATTGTCATTTTTATTAAGCACTAAGGCTATCTGTAAAGTAGTGGGGTCAGAAAAACAGTGGTTATCAGATAAACCATTTCACTTGTTTGAATTAAGATTACATTCTTAACTATTGCTGATTTAATTGTTGCGGTTATTTAATAGGCTGATGCATGTTCGTGTTATTTAATAGGTATTTCCCATTGTGAAAGCCTGTATCCTGGTCTGGTATTTTAAAAGTTCATACACATAATCTTCAGTTTCGCTGAAGCATTTAATGTTTCACAATTAAGAGGGGTATTTTTAGAAAAAAAACAGACTGATAAGGAGCATAGTTAAAATTAATTTGTGTCTGATTGGTTTGTAAATTTCCATTTGAAAATACTTGCTTCATAAAATAAAGTTCATTTAAATTTTCTATTTGTCAGGAAACATTAGTGGTAAAGTGTAGAAAAACCAATTATTTAGACTTCAAGTCCAGAATCAAATTTCTTAATACTTAAAAGGTTTCAGAAGGCAAATTCCCTCACATCTGGTCATTTATTCTTTACCAAAATGTTCTCTCAAGCTCATTACTACAGTGCAACTTAAGAAAGATTCCCTTAAATACATTTTTCTTTTTTCTTTTTCTTTTTTTTATTTATTTTTTTGGGACAGTGTTTTTCTGTGTAGCCCTGGCTGTACTAGAACTAACTCTGTAGACCAGGCTGGCCTCAAACTCATAGAGAATCGTCTGCCTCTGCCTCCCAAAGGATGGATTTAAAGGTGTGTGTCGTAGAGTATTTCTTAAGGTCAGAAACTGTTTTCTTAACAAAGTGGCAGTTGAAAAATTCTAGGTATATCTTAAGAATTAACCCTGGAGATGATAAAGAGTATTTCGTCAGTTTTTACTAAGATTTGGATGCAGGTGATGCCTGGATTGGTCTTTGAAGGGAAGGATGCCAAATGCACATTTATTAACAGAATATCCCACTGGTCTGGTCCTGGTTCAGTTATTAGCTCTACTTGGATTCTCAAATCTACAATTTCAGTCTGATACGAAATTCAGATCTAATATATTCAGCTGTGTCCTGTAAATACTTAAAAGCAGATCCCTGGCAAGCAAGCCAAGTACGTATGTTCAAAATGGAAGTCTCTTAACCCCATTCATTGAGAACTTGCCCTTCTGTTCCACTGCCAGCTGCCTCAGCTGCTGAATGAAGCCAAAACTAAGAGCCTCAACAGCTCAAGGGCAAGGCATACCTGTGTTTGTATCAGATCAGTTACTTAGTGCGGTTTTTTGGGGGGGGGGCAAATAATTTGAGCTAAATTTGTTTGCTTCAATTTTCTTACCTCTGAAATGGAGGTGATAGTGTTTCCAGGCTCACAAGATGATTGGCTTAGTGACTTAAATCGTATGGCAGATTGACTTAGAGCAGCGAACAGTGAACAAAGAAACGATCCCATTCACTGGACTGGATCATAAATAGGCGTTAAACAGTCTTTCAGATTAAAGAGGGTTTGAAATGATAGCAGAATGTTTACAAAGAAACTTTTTTTTTTTGACTCACTGTAGCCCATGCTGACCTTGAACTCCATTCTCCAGTCACAGTCCAGTGCTGGGATTACAGGCTTAGGAAACAGCTGTTTTAATTAGGGTTTGCTTCAGGTCAACAAAGGTAAATCAAAGCTTATAATTTGGAAAGTTTGCTTCAAATATCTGCAACGAAAGCTTATTCCTGTGGCTTTATTGTTTGTTTCTGGGCATCTTTGTATTAATATTAAAATATGGCATAATGAATCATCTGTCACAAACAGTTTAAAAGATAAAGATTTAACTGAAGATTAGGATCCAAAAAAGTCCTGCTTTATTGTGAAAGATTGACATTTCTCATGCGTCTTTTGGCTAAGAAGTGTGGTGTACAGGTGAACATTTTTCAGGGTTTCTGAAATCATGAATAAGTTGTGCTTTTTTCCTGGGTGTGCTCTGGGCCTTGGAAATGCTAAGCAATTGCCTTATCACCAAACTACATGCAGGTCTTTACCCTGTGAACAAATTTTGACGATGACGACATTCAAAAGAAATACTACTTTAAGATACTAAAGAAGATTCCCTATGAACAAGTTATTTAGAGGTTCAACAATAAAGCACTCTTTCTTACCAACTTCTAGAATGATTTACATTAACATTTTAAGATGTAGCATCCCATGTCTTTATTTGATATGTACACAACAGATTACATTTATGTTTTTTAATGCAAAAATTATGGTTTTGTTATATAGATCTTTAGAAACTTGTCTTAAAATGTGAGTCACCTTACCAATGTGTGAATCAGTATCTTTCACAATAGAATTTTTTCCTAATGTTATCCACTACTGATGGTTACTAGCCATGAAGTTAGAAACTCATTAGTCTATGCTCAGGGCTATTGATACCCAGGATTCTTACCCTGTGAAACCTGGTACCATCCCCCATCTCACAGAGAACAGAAAGTTTATTTTTCTGTATAAATTAAACCAATGAAGGCCACATCTCAAAACACACACATTAAGTGTGAATGAGGTGAACAGTGGCTGAAGAGGAAATTTGTGTGCAAGCCTGTATGTATTTACTATAGCTGTCCTGTTAACTCAGCATTTAGGTAGATATACACATTGGGAGATTAGAGGATTAGGAGCTGGAGGGATGGCTCACGGTTAAGAGTCCCTAGGTCTTGCAGGGACCCAGGTTGGGTTCCCAGCACCCATGTGGTGGCTTTCAGCCATTTTAAGTCCAGTTCCAGGGGATCCAACCCTCTTCTGACCTTCATGGGCACTAGGCACTCAGTGATGCACATACATGCAGTTAAAACATTCATAAACAAAAACAAAAACTCAGCCAACCAAACAAACAAAAACCCCTACGTCTTATAATGCACAGTCTGATTTTTGATGCCTCACTGTTCTGGTTTTTGAAACAGGTTCCCTATGTAGCTAGCCTTGGCTCTTTTGGACCTGGCCCTGTACACCAGGCTGGCCTTGAACTCAGAACTGCCCATCTCTGCCTGGGATTAAAACCTCACTTTTAAATATAGTCCCGGAAAGCTAAATGAAAGAAACTTTGCAGCGTACAGTCTGACCCCAGATTTGGTTTCACCTCCAAAGTAGTTTGTCTCAGATTCCTGTCTCTCCTGCCCCCACAGAAGAGAGAAGAGCTTTTGGCTAGAAGTGTTTTGTTTTGTATTGTGGACTTGAGAGTAGCAGTTTCCAAGTATATTGTCTTCTCTCTTACGTATTCAGTTTTGGAGCAGATTTCACAGTGTTGCTGACTGACTTCAACCTCCCAAAGCCTGCCTCTGCTTCCTGAGTGCTGGAGTTAAAAGGCATGGCACCCCATTCTTGGCCTTGTCTTCTGTATCATAAAACCTTTTCCTTAGGTTGTGCCCTTTAAATCCAGACTAGATTAACTGAGAGCACCCCCGGTGCCATTTTGTGTGATAAGAAACAGGAAATCTGGCCGCCAAAGGGGGAAGCATTCTTCCATCCTCAACTTGCTGTGGTACTGAAGATGTAACAGCCGTGGTCCACCCAGCTAGGCACACGCTCTACCACTGACCTACACCCCCAACTCCAGTAAAGCCTTTCCTCGTACGTATGTATTTATGTCCCCTGCTGCCCACGGGGACAATGGGGCACTCGTGCATGCACGTGGAGGGGGGTTATTCCCAAGCGGCTGGGGAGTGCGGAGGCCCGAGACTTTGGGTTGAGTGGCCTTGGCTGGGAGACGGAGACACAGGGCCCACAGCGGCCGGCCGTGGGAGCCCACAGCGGCCGGCCGTGGGAGCCCACAGAAACTCGCCTACCGACGGCACCCATGAGGGGGTGGACGAACATGAAGTCCACCCTGCCGTCCAAGCCACCATAGACCTCACCGCGGGTGCCGTTGGGGGCGCAGCGTGTGTGCTGACTGGGCAGCCCTTTGATACCATAAAAGTGAAGATGCAGACATTCCCTAACCTGTACAAGGGCCTCACAGACTGCTTTCTGAAGACCTATCACCAAGTAGGCTTCCAGGGCTTATACAGGGGAACCAGTCCTGCACTGCTAGCCTACGTCGCCCAGAGCTCTGTACTATTCATGTGCTATGGCTTCTGCCAACAGTTTGTTAGGAAAGTGGCCAGAGTGGACCAGAACACAGAGCTGAATGACTTCCAGACTGCCACTGCTGGGTCACTGGCCTCCGCATTCGCTTCGCTGGCCCTCTGTCCCACTGAGCTCGTGAAGTGCCGGCTGCAGACCATGCATGAAATGAAGATGTCAGGGAAGATAGCGCAAAGTCATGACACAATTTGGTCCATGGTTAAGAGTATCTTCATGAAGGAAGGTCTTTTTGGCTTCTATCGTGGACTCCCCACCACTCTAGTTCAGGAGATACCTGGCTATTTCTTCTTCTTTGGGGGATATGAACTTAGTCGATCATTTTTTGCGTCAGGGAGATCAAAGGATGAACTAGGCCCTGTCCCTTTGATGTTAAGTGGAGGCTTTGCTGGGATCTGCCTCTGGCTTATTATATTCCCAGTGGACTGTGTTAAATCCAGAATCCAGGTTCTTTCTATGTCTGGGCAGCCAGCAGGATTAATCCGAACCTTTCTAAGTGTTGTGAGGAATGAAGGAATATTAGCCTTGTATTCTGGAATGAAAGCCACTATGATTCGAGCCATCCCTTCTAATGCTGCTTTGTTCTTGGCCTACGAGTACAGCAGGAAGGTGATGATGAGCATGGTGGAAGAACACTGACGTGTCCTGGTGAACCCTTCTCTGAGCACTTGAGTGTGAGGACCGTGGCTCTAGATATCAAAGAGTTCAAGACCAACATGGAGTTATCTTTGACTGGGAATTTCGGGTTTGTCTTCCCTTCCTCCAAATCTCAAACTTTGTGGAGAAATCTTTATATCATATGGTTTCTTCCCGCAATCATACTGAAATAGAAAAATCACTGCTTTTGCTGGTTGTGGAATCTACAGGGTGAACCCCAAGGCCCTATGTACTTAATCTTAAAGGTTATCAAGGCCGCTTCATAAACCTGTATATGCATCTTGAATGGTTATGTGTTGTGAGTGAAACATAATTCGGTTCCCTGATTAGTCTCACGTATCATCAAAGCATCTAGAGTTGATCATATTTCATGGATATAGGTATTGCCTAATCCACTCAAGATGTGGGTTTTAGTTTAAAGTCTGTTTTAATGTGCACAATACTAGGCTGTTAAAGTTCTTAAAGACTGTGGGACAACCAAAACATACATGTTGATTTCCAAGAAGAGAATGTACCTGTGTAACAACAGCCTGGCTTCCACATTCTTGAGTAAAATTTCCAAGTAGGCATCCTGGATTTTCTGCCCTATTCTCCAATAGTGTGGTTCATGTTCAAAGTATAGTTACATTTACACTGCAATAGTATTGTTAGGTAGGGCCTTGCATACCAGGCCTTTGAGAAGTGATGTGGCCTGTACCTACACTCATTTCCTGTCTCCTCTTCCAAAGAAGCCAGGCTTGAGATTGAGGAAAGAGATAAAGGCATGGGGCTATGATACTGCGCTTTGGTGATCCATGTCGACCAACAGTTCTCAACCTATGGATCACTTTACCCTTGGGGGGGGGTGCTAGCAACTCTTTCACAGGGGTTGCATATCAGATATTTACATTGCAATTCATAGTAGTAGCAAAATTACAGTTAGGAAGTAACAGCAAAAATAATTTTATGGTTGGGCTCACCATGACATGAGGAACTGTATTAAAGAGTTGCAGCATTTGGAAGGTTGAGAACCACTGATATAGATGAAGAAGGTTCTAATTTGCTCCCAGTCTCTGGGTCCTGGCCTGGGGAGGAGTTCACAGTGTTGTGCTGGCTCATTGAGGGGCTGTTGATTCACTTTAGGTCACTCACGGTTCTCTGTACCGTTGTCCATTCTTCCATTTTGTTCTGTTTGGCGACAGAGAGTCCCAATGGGTGATGTCATCTCCTAGGCAGGACTAGTGTGCACGATGTGCTGTCAGTTCCACAGCAGACAATGTGAAAAGAGGTGACTCACTCTTGAAGGTCACCTGGGGTCCATAACTGCTGTAATTTCAGTGTCACGGCTTTCTAAATTTGGTGGTGGTGGTCTGTGAACTGTAGTGACTGGATGTCACAATATAAAACAATGAACCATAAGAAAAGCAATTTTACTAAACGGCACACATGCATTTAATTGCAGGCACAAGAAAACCCCCAAATATATCAAAATGAGATGAAAGCCCTCCTCCCCCAATCATGATTCAACTTACCCCAATAGACTTGGAATTAAGCAGCATTCGTGGGCCATATGATTTTGGAAAGTCATTTTTTATTTTGGTTTTGGTTTTTTGAGACAGGATTTCTCTGTGTAGCCCTAGCTGTCCTGGAACTTACTTGTAGACCAGGCTATTCCCAAACTCAGAGATCTGCCTGCCTCTGTCCCTCAGTGTCAGGGTTAAAGGCGTGCACCACCACTACCTGACTGAGAAAGCTGTTCTTTATGCCATTAAGCACATCTTTCTGTGTTGCTTCAAGACCAACAGGGTCTTTCCAATAACCGGTATTAAATATCTATCAAGCTGAAAGAAGGTGAGGTACCAGTCTGAATAGTTTGGTCTATGTGTTTCCTGTGCCAGGCCTCCAATTTCCTTCCTATAACCCATTAAGCATCTATAGTTCCAGAAGCAAGATCCAGGGAAATGAGACACTGACAAATAAGGACCACTGGGGGAAACTGACAAAAAGTTTTGCTCAATATTATGTCTAGTCTGTTTAGGACTTATGGTTATTTTTCTATTACTTGCTTCTTGAAACCATTTGTTATTTTACTTTAAGCTGTTTCTGTGTTTAAGTTACACACACCATACATGAGTAGCCCATACCTACTGAGCAGTGTCTCATCTGAGTAGGCCTGCTTTAAAGCAAGGTAGTAAATGGGACTGGCTTCTGGCACGAGTAGACTTTTTTAGTCTATGTAGTCCCCCAGCATAACATCCATGAGCTAGCCTGGTAGCTCTGCTTTCAGCAAACTTGCTTCTCACATGCTATCCATTAAAAGTTTAAATGCCTTTAAGTATAAGTCATACGAGACAAGCAAGAATGAATGGGAGCAGAAGGAAAATAGGCTTAAGAGAAAATTTTCCAATTCAAGTTTATAACCCCAAAGGTTATATTTGGGGACTATTTTATCATTTCAGATCTCTAGGTTAGACAGAAGTAAGATATGAGCAGAGGGAGCAGTTGGGGACAAACTCTATTGTCTAATTTTAGATCTGGGGCAACAGGACACTTGAGCCAACAAGCAGTTGTGAAACCAGGTCCTGAGATCTTGTGACCAGGTCAGAAGATTATGGGAAATCCTTCAGTTAATTTGCATGGAACGAGACAAATTTCCTGCCAATCAAAAGGAAGAAGGATGGGTGATGTGACCGGGCGACATAGAAAAAGATAAAATACCACAACCTGAGATCCTCTCCATAGACACTCCTCTCATATCTGTGAAAGCAAGTATTTAATCTAATAAACGCTATTCTCATGACCTTGACTTGTTGCAATGTCAGTGAGAACATAAGAAGTAAAGAGGCTCTTGTAATGGGTCTCAGATCTGCTGGAATCATGAGGTGTTGTGAGATAACCTTTTTGTACGCTGTGAAGGTGTGTCTTTCCAAGATGCCCTCTGACTGCTTTAAGAAAGAGTTGGGTGGCCAATAGCTAGGCAGGAAGAGGTTAGGTGGGGCAGAGATAGAGGGAAAGGAGTTAAATCTAAGAGTGAGAGAGACTCCAGAGGACACAGAGACAAAACAGGAGGTACAAGATGATAAGAAGCCATGGGGCAAAATGTAGGATAATATGAATGGGTTAATTTAAGTTATAAGAGCTAGTGGGACAAGCCTAAGCTATAGGGCAAGCTTTCATAATAAGTCTCCATGCCATTTGTTTTTTTTTTTTTGTGAGCTGGTGACACAAAGAAAAACCTGTTTACAGTAAGGTAACATTGTCCTTCTCTCCCATGAGTAGAGGCTTACTCTTGACCTCCTCAGATGTCACTATGCTTTGCATTAATGGGAAAATATACCTTGCTTTTCTTTTCCTTATTTCCCCTACTTTCCCTAGGGTGCTTCCCTTAAGGATGAAAGCACCAGGCTTTTTACAGGCACCCCAGTGTAAACTACCTTCCTTCCTGGGCCAAGGACATGATGGCCAAGGGGAAGGGAGTTTGACAGCTTTCAGTCTAAAGGACTCCTGATTGTAACAACTTTTCTCCATTCTCTCTTCTTTCTTTCACTTTTTATAATATTATCAGTCTCCCTTTCATTTCCAAGGGAAGTTTGGATCTAAAATGTAACAGGAACATCTCTACCATCTGTGCTACTCCTCAATGCCTGTGGGTACTTCCCACTTCACATTTTCTTCCTTGTCTGCCCTAGAATGGACCCTCAGATGTCAATGCCCAGAATGTTCTCTTTCTCATTCCCTTAATCCCACCCTGCCTTGACCCTTAGCCCTCCATTTTCCTAGAAACTCTATTTCTGTGAGTGTCTTACTTGCTTTACGCATGCTTTCTCTCTTCAATGCTTTCTCTGTTGTGAATACAAAGGCAAAGGTTTCCATTTTTCTTTCCCTTCTCAAGTCAATGTCAGGACTTTGTCTGCTGCACGAAAGAGCTTTGTGGACAGCATGTTCCCATTTTAGCCAAGCTCTTGGCTCCCGAGCTGCTGCTGCTGACTCCCAGTGGCAAGAACTTCATTCTTCTGTGTTAGGATGTTCACCGAAAAGTTTTGGAAATGGGCACACTGTCCACTTGCAGTTTGTATCAAACTCCTAAGTGATCTTTAGTCAGTCTGAGGGTATTCTTTTTTGTTTGTTTGGCTCCCATTAAACTGGTAAACTGTTTTAGTGGATGAACCCTTCATGGTCTTGACCTCTTTGCTCATCTTCTCATTCCTTCCACTCTTCAACTGGACCTTGGGAGCTCAGACTAGTGCTCCGATGTGGTCCTCTGCCTCTGTTTCCATCTGTTGTTGGACAAAGGTTCTATGGTGATATTTAAGATAATCATCAGTCAGACTACAGGACAAGGCCAGTTCAGGCTCCCTCTCCTCCGTTGCTTAGGGTCTTAGCTGGCATCATCCTTGTGGATTCCTGGGAATTTTTCTAGAGCCAGGTTTCTTGTTAACCCCATAATGGCTCCCTCAGTCAAGATATCTCTTTCCTTGCTCTCATATCTGTCCTTCCTTCATCCCATTCCCTCAAGCTCTCCACAACCCTCCCCTTCTCCCCTCTTTTTCCCCTTCTCCCCTTCCTTCTATCCCCTGTCCCCATGCTCCCAATTTTGTCAGGCAACCTTGTCTGTTTCCAATTTCCAGGAGGGTCTATATATGTTCTTCTTTGGGTTTACCTTATTACTTAGCTCCTCTAGGATTATGAACTATAGGCTTGGTGTCCTTTGTTTATGGCTAGTATCCACTTATGAGTGAGTACATGTAGCATGAGGGCCGGCTTGTTGGGGTTTCTGTCCCACCTGGTACCCCACAACCAGCATGCCCCAAAGAGAAAATCAATCACACAGAGAACTCTATAAGTTATAAACTGATTGGCCCATTAGGTCAGGCTACTTATTATCTCTTATAACTTATGTTACCCCATTATCCTTATCTACATTAGCCACATGGTTCCTTACCTTTTCCAGCAGGGCAGCTTACATCTTTCCTCTCCGGTGGTCTGGGCAGAACTGCGGAGGGAGCTTCCTGCTTTCCAGAATACTCCCAGTCTTTTTGCTCCACCTCCACTTCCTGTCTGGCTTTCCCGCCTATACTGCCTGCCTGGCCAATCAGCATTTTATTAAAATATGATTGACAGAATACAGACAATTCTCCCATACCATTTCCCTCTTTTTTTTTAAACAAAGGAAAATACCCATAGTCCATTTGTTGGGAATGTGGGCGTAGTATTTCAGGCTACCTCCTGCTGGTTGGGGGCGCTGATGATCTTATGGGGACCCAAAGAAAATGTAGAGTTATAATCAAGTCCTGACTGCAGTATCCT